AAGGTGTTCAATTGGTATAACTGGGTAAGTCTATAGGTGTAGAAGCGAGATTAACTTAAATGGACCTTAGTGTATCTATAATTGGATATAAACTACTCAATAAAATGCATATGCACAAAGCATCTTTCACTCAAAAAATAAAAATAAAAATAAAAAAAAATAAAATCTTATATTTGTTAAAAAAATTTTTTAGCCATAATAAAAATTTGCAAATTATAATTTTTCAATTTTATTTTTTAATAAAAGAAACTAAGAATAAGTAACTTTATTTATTTCCAAATTATATTTAGAGACATTTATCTAAGACAAATGTTTAAGTCTATAAACATTTAATATATCTTGATGTATTATATATTATTTTTTTTCTGTAAAAAATTTAAAAATAGTACAAACATGTTTGATTATAGGAAAAAAATTAAATGAAATTATATTATTTAAATTTAGAATTATAATCTTGCTATACACAATTGTGGGCTTTAAGTGGCTTCAAAAGAAAGCCTTGCACCACGTATTTGATATCCGATAAGAAATTTACAATGACGATACATTGATAAATATTAAACATCAGTATGACTCACCGAAATCAGTAAAAATTTTTTAACGATAATCTCGGATTAAAACTTATAATAGTTTGGTGCCAACGGATTATCATCTGTAACGGACATTACCTGTAAAATGGAAACTACTTCCGGGCAACCAGAGCCCGAAGTAGTCAAAGTATCGATATTAAACGAAGAATCAGCCATTATTGGGTTTCATTTGACCGATTATTTGGTTAGAGATTTAATAACTAATTTTCAGGCGTCATCATATGTAATAATCACGGATACAACCATTGCATCAATCCATCTTGAAAAATTATTGGATCGATTCAAGAGCATTTCTGCGGAGCTGATTCGGGCCAAAGGTGAAAATGTTTCAACACCAAGATTTTTATCTTATACGGTTCCGCCGGGGGAACAATCCAAAACAAGAGAAATTAAAGCCGAGATAGAAGATTACCTGTTAAGTGAAGCATGTACGCGTGATACATTCATTATCGCTTTCGGTGGTGGTGTAATTGGTGATATGGTGGGGTTCGTGGCGGCTACCTTTATGCGTGGCGTACCTTTTGCTCAAATTCCAACAACACTGCTTGCCATGGTGGACGCATCAATTGGCGGCAAAACGGCAGTTGATACTCCTCATGGTAAGAACTTGATTGGCGCTTTTTGGCAGCCGAAAAGGATTTACATTGATATAGTATATTTGGAGACACTGCCCGAAAGACAATTCATTAATGGTATGGCGGAAGTAATAAAAGCGGCAGCAATTTGGAATGAAAATGATTTCGTGAATCTTGAAAATAATGTGGAAAGCATTCGTTTAGCATTCAAAGCCAAAAAGGAAGTCCCTTTTCAAGGAGCAACAAGTGACACACGTACTTTAGGACAATCACTCTTATTATCTGTAATCGCCGGAGCCGTTAAATTTAAGGCTCACGTGGTAACAAATGACGAAAGAGAGGGTGGTCTTCGTGAGATACTCAATTTTGGTCATGGTGTGGGTCACGCAATTGAAACTATTCTTTTTCCTGAGATGCTTCACGGAGAATGTGTTTCTATCGGTATGATTAAAGAAGCCGAAATTGCAAGAAATTTTGGATGTCTAAACCAAGTTTCCTTAGGTCGACTAGTGAGATGTTTACAGAATTACGGTTTACCAATTTCTCTCGGTGACAAAAAGGTTTTAGACTTGGTCGGTAATAAATTTTGCACAGCAGACAGGTTAATGACCATTATGAAGGTTGACAAAAAAAATAGAAATGGTCAAAAAAAGATTGTTCTGTTAACAGGAATCGGGAAAACATACGAACAGAGGGCTACCGTTGTATCTGATGATGTGATTTACAAAGTTCTTTCATCTGCCATCACCATTCATCCAATAACATCCTCTCTTAACTTGAAAAAACACGTCACGATAACAACCCCTGGATCAAAGTCAATTTCAAATCGTGCCTTGGTACTTGCCGCACTTGGTACTGGCACTTGTCGACTTAAAGGATTACTTCATTCAGATGATACACATGTAATGCTTAATGCCCTCATGAATCTCGAAGGAGCAAAATTTGAATGGGAAGATAATGGTAAAACATTAGTCGTCATTGGTGGCGGTGGAAGTTTTAGGGTTCCCAACAAAGAGATCTATCTTGGAAATGCAGGAACTGCCTCGAGGTTCGTCACAACTATTTGCACATTAGTGTCGCCGGAATGTACCACTGAGACAAACAAGCATATAATCTTAACGGGAAATGCGCGCATGAAACAACGTCCAATTGATCATTTGGTAGATGCCCTTCGTGAAAACGGTTCGCAAATCAAGTATCTTGAAACAGATGGTTGCCTTCCACTTGAGATAACGCCCAGCGAGCAGAGATTTCGTGGTGGATCGATAAATCTTGCTGCCTCGATCTCATCACAGTACGTGACATCAATACTTTTAAGTGCGCCATATGCCAATGAACCTGTGACCTTGAACCTAATAGGAGGTCAAGTTATATCTCAACCCTACATTGACATGACAATTGCCATGATGGAATCTTTTGGAATAAAAGTTGAACGCTCAGGAGATGTATATCGCATTCCACAAGGTCCTTATAAAAACCCGGAAGTTTATGTAGTTGAGTCGGACGCGAGTTCTTCTACCTATCCATTAGCAATTGCAGCCATTACAGGTACATCTTGCACTCTTCCAAATATCGGATCATCATCTCTTCAAGGTGATGCAGCATTTGCCGTAAAGGTTGCTCGTCAAATGGGATGTACAGTAACCCAAACTTCCACGAGTACTACGGTGCAAGGACCACCTATCGGTTCATTAAAATCATTGCCTAACATTGACATGGAAACGATGACAGACGCATTTATGACTGCATCTGTGCTAGCGGCTGTTGCCTCCAATCAACAAGACGGACAAGAATGCATCACTCGAATAACTGGCATTGCAAATCAGCGGCTGAAAGAATGCAATAGAATCGCGGCCATGACCAATGAATTGAGCAAATTTGGAGTTTCAGTATCCGAGCTACCTGATGGTATACAAATCCACGGTTCCAAAATTGAAAATCTTCGAGCACCCGCAGAAGGTGTTCATTGCTATGACGACCACCGAATAGCGATGAGCTTTAGTGTCCTTGGATGCGTGGTTCCCAATGGTACCATAATACGCGAAAAACAATGTGTCGATAAAACCTGGCCTGGCTGGTGGGATGTTTTAGAGTCAGAACTAGGCATAAAACTCGATGGTTACGATTTAGTAAAAAATCGGAAAAATGAACCGTCAGCCGAAGTTAATACAACAATATTGCCTTATGTCCTATCGGAACAAGATGCATCTATCATATTTATTGGAATGCGTGGTGTTGGCAAAACCACTTTGGGTAAATTTGCTGCCAAGGCTCTAGGTCGCAAGTATGTGGATTATGATCATTATTTTGAAACCACATTATCAACAACCATTCCGGAATTTACAAGTAAACAAGGGTGGGAAGCTTTTCGCGCAAAAGAATTTGAACTACTTACATCTTTGCTTAAAGATTGTTCTTCGGGATATATAATTTCCTGTGGTGGCGGCATTGTAGAAACACCTTCCTCACGCGATCTCCTGAAAAAATACATACGTGAGAAAGGAAAGGTTGTTCATATAGTAAGGGATATCAAAGAAGTTGTGAAAGATTTAACTAAAGACACTATACGCCCAGTATACGGTGAAGACCCTCACGATGTGTGGAAACGACGTGAAGGATGGTACAAAGAATGCTCAAATTACGAGTACGTTTCCTTAACGGCTGAAGGCGATATTGATTTATCCGAATCGAAACATGATCTTGTTAGGTTTTTGAAATTCATTACCGGACGAGACACCAATCAAGTTGATACGCAAAGTCAACAGAGAACGTTTTTTGTGTCGCTGACGTTCCCAGACATCACACCTGCGTTGCATCATATACATGAGATAACTTATGGTGTAGATGCCGTCGAACTTCGAGTAGATTTACTATGTGATAACGATTCCCAGGCGTCCAATTACGTAAACGACATACCATCGATTGATTACATTTCACGACAGGTGGCATTAATAAGACATTCATCGAAACTTCCCATCATATTCACCGTAAGATCAAAAGGACAGGGAGGAAGATTTCCAGATAACCAAGAGAGAGAGATGTTTTCGCTTTTGAAACAAGCTATTAAATGGGGTTGTGAATATATTGATTTAGAGATTGGTGGGCTTACTGATTTGATTTCAGATTTGGTTGAAAATAAAGGACATTCGAAGATTATCGCATCGTGGCATGATATATCAATAAAATGGGACAGCGAGGAAATTCAAGGAATTTATAGAACGGCACATAAGTACGGGGATATAATTAAATTAGTTGGTAAAGCCAAAACTATTAATGACAATTTTAAATTGCAAGAATTCGTTCAATCTTTATCCGTGGAAAAATCCAAACCAATCATTGCTATTAACATGGGCGAAGAAGGACAACTATCACGCATATTGAATCAATTCCTAACACCAGTAACTCATCCATTATTGCCATCAAAAGCAGCACCTGGGCAGCTCTCAGTGCGTGAAATTAACCAAGCATTACATTTAATTGGACAATTACCTAGTAAGAAATACTATGTTTTCGGCACACCCATTAGTTCATCGTTGTCACCGACAATCCACAATACGGGATTCAAAACGTTAGGATTACCATATTTTTATGATATATTCGAATCGCAGGATGTGGAGGCGGTCAAACCCGTAATTGAGGATCCCGAATTTGGAGGAGC